TCTGTATGTTAATTAGGGATGGGCATTTTTCAAAAATATTGCATTCGAATATTTGGGCTCATAAAAATCGAATATTCGAATATTTGTTTATTTAAATGACATTTAACGAAAAAGATGCTTTTTTTTTTTTTTTTTTTTTTTACGTTTTTGTCACCATTTCTTTTAGTTGAAAACATTAAACATTAGGCCTATGTGTAAACAAAAAATATAAAAAAACAAAAGCATTAATAAAAGAATGCTCAAGCAGCGCGAACGGGAAAAAAACGCCTAATAAAGCGGTTGCGCCAGATATCGTACAGAACGTACACACACACGAGTCAGCATATGATTATCGTGTTTATATTGTTTCACGTTTATATAGAGAAAAACAATATCCACATGCAGGGGCGCCGCCAGCAATTTATGATCGAGTGAGAAAAGGCGCTGCGCTGACAGACGTTTCAGAGACACAAAGATAACGGTGTTCTAAGTTTCTAACAGCACTTTGCGTTTTCTGCTCTTAAACCGGTCTCCCTCAACGAAACTTAAAGGAAGTATATGTCTCAAAATAATTTTGCTATAAGATAAGTTATCATCTAAGCTCGGATCACGCGGGGTCCAGCTGCGCTTACCTGCAGTCGTGAATGCAGTGTTGGTCAGCTGTCTTTCCTCAGTCGACTGTTTGGATTTCATGTGATTTCTCATTGTGGTGATGATGATATTATAACTCAGATTAATTAATTAATTTGATCAAAAGTAATTCCATTTAGTAAGATCATTTTCAAGTAATTCCAAACTTCGCGATGCAGACGACAACATTATGTGATCAAATACACACAACTTGTTAACACACTCCACAGCGCCACCCAGTGCATTTAATTATAATTGCGAGTTAGTGCTTGGGATTTATCATGGATTCACTGCATTTACGGCCAGCAAAGCAACGTAGTAAAATTCGAATAGTATTTTATTTTACTAATAATAATTACAGATCGAAAATTCGAATATTCGTGCACATCCCTAATGTTAATGTAACCTGCACACATACATTTGCAGTTTTGTTAATAGCTTTCCATCTTGAATAGTTACAGCTGGTATGAATGACATGAACAATGTGCAGGGTAGTGTAGGAAAGTAAATCAAGTTATTGTAACCTTAGAGTGGCCTAGGTCAGACTGGCCTATAGCAAAAATAAATATCAGGCCTTGAAATAGGCTGTCAAAGTAACTGTAGAGTAGCCTTATACATATTTGCATTGAATTAATTTGTACCATTTAATCATGTAACTGTTTAATTGCAATTGTCCAAAGTGTGGCCCTCCGTTTACTTTGCCAAAGTAACTGTGGCCCTCAGACTAAAACTGTTGCCCACCCCTGATTTAAATGATCATTTTGCTACAGGTTTTGCTTGAACATTTTAAACAGATCTAATAATTTCTTTAATACATTTTCATTTTACTTTTGCAACTTATAAAGCGTTAAAATATGTATTCAATTTACATATTAAAACATATGTATGAAATGGCAAATGTAAATTACATAATTGAATTATCATTTTCATTTTGCACCAAACGTTGCACAAATGTAATGGAAAATGTAAATTTAAATACAGAAATGCATTGCCATTTTACATATTGCATTGTCATTTTACATATTTCATTATAATTTTGCATATTACATTTCAAATTGAATATTGCTACACATAAGCTTCCATAGGATCGCTGCCTCACAGTTTGCACACACTCTGAGGAAGAACTGAGGATAGATACAGAAGATTGACGTGTATATATAGGATATACAGTAAACTTGCTGTGTCGGTTATTTGCAAATGACCAATTTATGAATATGCCAAAACAGTAGATCACATGAGATAACTTCAGATGTACAAAATCAATCAACTTTTTTTTTTTTTTTTATGTTATAGGCTATTTGAAATACCCAACTATTTAAATATTTATTTGAAATATATTTACTGTTATTATTTTAAATAAATGTATATATAAATTTACACCATGCCGATAACTTCAGGTGTGGTGTACTTGGAATAGAACTTTTTTTGACCAGATGGTTAATAAAGAGGATGGTACTTGAATAATATTGTAGTTACATTTTTAAGTTGACTAGTTAAACATAAAAAAAACAATCTAAACCGAAATCGTTCTAAAAAAAAAAAAAAAAAAAATTGAGATTTTTATCTTTTGCCATATCGCCCAGCCATAATGCATATGTTTTTTTACCTTGTAATTTTTAATCAAAATGTGATAACTGGACTTAGGGATCATGGGACGATTACCGGTTTCACTATAAACCACGATATAATGTACTGACGCTCAGTATTATCGTTTAAAATTTAATTATCATTAAAACCGTGTTTGATTATCGTGATTTTAATAACTCACTGTAAATCCTGTCCAGCTAGCAACAGTCTGACGCAGGCACGCAACGCGTAATGTTGTTGTTTTTTTATTCGAGAAGGAATGGCGCAAGGCAGTACCGTGCTCGGGAGATTTTCCAGCCTTTTAAGAGGCTGAAAAAGTCCTGAGGGAAATTTAATCGAGGATGGTCACCCTGTCTGCAGAACATGCACAAAAAAAGTCGCTGCAATACACTTAAAATCTGCTGAGTCGTCTTGTGTGACCATCACCCACTGTTGTATAGCGAACCCAAGGCAAGTTAACTTTGACCTCAATACCAAAACTACGTCTGGGAAATAATTGGGCACAAAATGTTGTTTTGAGTTGAAATATTTTATCTCACTCACAATAAACGTGAAGCTTCCGCGAAGAAAAGTTTGCATTATAATGTTTTAAATCTTACCTGCTTATAAATCCATTGTGTACAGCGTACAAAACAATCGTCCAGACAAAATGATCACAACAATATTAGCAAACTCTGTAAACAATAAATGAACTCTGATTTCATTTTCAATACAATCAAAACCGAGACGCAAGACGGCAAGTTGTATTTGAATGAAACACGAACGCGCGTCCGTTGTGATACATGGATGTGCGCTGTGTAATAATGCGTTGCTATTGACGACGGTCATTATAAAGAAGGAAATGGCACAGAATGGAATCTTGGCTTTAAAAAGTGCATAGAGCTGCTTATCTATTTGTTGTTTGTTGATTTTCAAATATAAAACTTGTTGAAATGTTTTCAGTGTGAGCATCAGTTCTTTTTGAACACTTTCATCTCGTTTTAACAAAACCGTGATAATATTGATAATCATGATAATTTTGGTCACTATAATCGCGATATGAAATTTTCATACCGTTACCGTCCCATCCCTAACTGGACTTCTCTCCGGTGACAAATGCCAGACTTTGTCCCTGCAGGCTTGCAAGCAATGGCCACAACATATCAAAATACAATCAAGAACTGATGGGTAGAACCAAGTCCCACCCTAAATTTTTTCTTTTTCAAAAATCCATTACACTCGGATACATGTCGCCATACAGAAGAAAAGAAACAATCTTTTGTTAACTCTGTTTCATCGTGACAAAGAAATGCTATGTCATAAAATGAATAGGAAATATTTTACATTGTGGACTATTTCTAGTACACTATAAGAAGTAAATTTGTGACTGATTATGTGACCCTTTGCACAGACAATCGGATGTTCTTGCTTCCACTGACGCTCAAGAATCAAGATGCTCTTTGGGTCATCTCAAATCATGCTGGAGAACATGATTATCATCAGGTTTGACACACACTTGTAAAGTTCATGCAGTTCCTGTCATTAAAGCAAAAGAGGGACAAAGCAAATACAAAGAAATTCTGAAACTTTTGACTCAAATTGTATTTTCTAATTAAATTAGAAAAATGCAGAAGCATTTTCACTATGCTGGTGGTCTCAGACATTTGAATTTCCCTGTCATTTCAATAGTCAGGTGTGGCATGGCTAACATTAAAAGCCTTTAGAGATCTGCATGTTCTGGTCCTCAAACAAAAATCCTTGCTTTGTGCTCTTCTGACCTGCATTGCACCCAGAAATCTGCTCTACAACATCTCACACTTAAGAACGGTCTTCTACACAACAACAGAAAATGCTGAATAACCAGAAGCATCACCTATTTAAGTCTGTGAGTGAGTATAATGACCCTGAGACAAGTTTTCCTTTGTCCTTTTTAATAGTTCACTAATGAAGTTGGGATATGAAGCTTGACTTTACATACACATTAGGTGTATGTGAGGCCGTTAACTCTAAGATTTTAGAGTCACGTTCCAAAATGATCAAATTTTTCCCTCTCACAGTATGACAAGCCGCTCCACCGTATTAACAGTTCAACTGGAATGTATGACTGAACTTTCAGGGAAAGAAAGGAAAAAACTGGATCAAATAACGTACTACAATGCATTCATAATTAGATTGAACCTTTTTTTGGAGGAATTCACCAACAACGAAAGTTGTTTTACTACATCGAGTTAATATTATAGTCACTCTGTGGCTCGATATTTATTTATACGGTTGATATTTGCAGCACCTGGAGAGGAAACTGAAAAGGAAGCTTTATTTCCTTTGTAAGGCACTTTTAGAAATTGACGTACACAAACTAGTGTAGAAAAGCAAAACTTTGAACAAATCTATTGTTTATTGGTGCAGTTTCGCCCTCAAAGTGCCTTCTCTTCAAAATGGCAGACTTCCTAACTGAAACTAAACGCTTAATATGCAATTTTTAATGGAGATATTTTGCAAGATACTAGGTTGTTTCATTCAGCTCTACAATGGGACCAATGGATATCTGTAGGCGCGTTTGAGGACACATGTCAAACATTTACCCGCCCCACAACTGACCTGATCCTCTACTCTCTATTGTGAATGTGACCCACTTCATTGATCTTTTGAGGCTGTTGGGTCTATGCAAAATCTGACAATTTCTTTCAACTAACTTTCAAATCACGTCCAACAAAACATAGCAATAGCAATCCCAAACCTGGTGACACAGCCGGACAGAACAAGCCGCCCGCTTTTTAAGCATATGCATGAGGTGTAAAAGCAAAAACTCAAATTGGATCACTCACAGTGGTCTGTTCCATTGTTTGACTGCTCTGACAGGAGGTGACAGTGACAGCTCCGAGTGTTAGCATGCGCTGAGATGCTCCTGTGTGACTGTGGGACTGAGATGCATGTTGTGGTGCAGCGCCAGCAACAGTTCTCGGCTGGGTTTTCGGGGTCGACAGCACAGGCCTCCTAAGAGAGGAACGTCTCTCTGTGTGTGGAGTAAGCTCCACCTCTGTCACGCTAACACACGCCCCTCGGACTTCATCGACTGTAAACCTCAGCCATACTTCCTTTCCTGTAATGAACAGTGCATTTCTTATTATAATACATGATATCTTTCTCAGATAAACACAACAACGAATGAGGCTTTAGGTCTTATCAGGCAAAACAGACAGGTTTAGGTGCTTGTTCTAGATCACGCTTGTTCTAAATGAATGATGCCATGAACTTCTGGCAGAACGACGGCAGAATCGGCTGTGAAATATAGTTTACAAAGTGATCGTGTCATGTTTGAAATGTGATCTGCTTCATTAGTAGTCTCAGACACATTTGAAACTTAATTTGGCAGTCATTTGATTCTGTGTTGGAAACTTGTTAACTTACTATATGCATGTTAACTTACTAATGTATGCCAAACTACTTTTAGCAGCTGACATTTTTTAAAGACTTTAATACATATAAATATTAAAATGGTTTATTTTATTTTATTATAATGACATTAAATGAAAAATGCATTCATTTTTCCATTAATTATATTATATTTGCATTTGACTATTTCTTTTCGGTCTTTCTTTAGGTTTAATTTAGGCATTACTAAAGGTTCTACCGAAGTTTAAAACTTCAAACTGTAAAATTGAAAAGCAAAATTTATACGATATTCGGTAAAAAGTTTCAAGTTTCACAGCTGGTGAAAAATATATCACTGGTAAAATAAACAATGTAATGGTTAAAGATAAGAACATTATCTAAAGAGAATCTTCTAATGTAAAAAAAACCCAACATAATATGATTTAAAAAATATGATATCAAATTAATTTATTGAATAGAAAATCATTGAAAACTTACAAAGAAAGAAATACATGTCATAATACTTTTTTTTTTTCTCTTTTGGAACAAGCTTCATGGAAACATTTTTAAATGTTGAAAACCATGTGTCAGACAGGCTGAAATGTTACTGACATCACCCCACATTTTTGGCTTTCTCTTTTTCCACTTCTTTTTTTTTTGTTTACTTAGTAATTGCTGTAAGCATTTGCCTTTTGGCAAAGGTGGAGTCCTGTTCTGCAAGACCATCCCTGTCTATGTCTATATGAAAAGACAAACAAACCGGACTAGTTATCTTCGGCTTCTGTACACCTGCATATAAACGTTCCTCTGCACGGCATCAAACTGCACAAATATTTCTGAATTAGAACATCATGGCAACTTACACACCTGCATACCAAAACAGAACAAAATCCAGAAATCACTGAGAAAAATAACAGAAAAGAAACATGTTTTGTTTTTAAAAAGTCTAGAACAAATATAGGAAGATTACAAGTAAATGGCTTAATAACAAACAAGAGGAAGATTAAAAACAACTTAATTTAAGATACGCCATAAAAATGACTTAGTTTCAGAATGTTTCTCAGAATTGATCTTTTTTACAGTTATTAATGTTGCTTTTTTGTTTGTTCTTTAAAATGATCAAATGATCTAAATAACAAAACTTTTTTTAACATAGCCATTTGAAAAAAATTCAACCAATTAACATATACACATATATAAAATAACATTTAATACTTATTATTTTATTATTATATTATATATATTTTTTTATTATTATATTATATATTTTCAAATCATCATACATATCACAGTACATCGCACATCCACAGATTTCTTTTTTTAAAGTTCCATATTAAAAACTTTTCTAAGCAGCCATGTATAAATAATGTCCACAAAGTAAAATATAGCACACAATAACACTCAAAGCAATCTAAAACACAATTAACCAGTGAGTCTTTGACTATTAGAGGCTGCTGCATGTTTTCTTTCAAGACACTCATCACAGGAATGGCCAGGTCTCCGACTCATTGACCCCTGCCACTTCAACCTGTTGACTGTAAGTTAAGGTCACATCTACTGACTGACTGCAGCACAGAGCTGCAGTCCCATAAATCTGTCCGTACCTGAAGCTACCTGATAAACAGAGCTCGCCTCTGACCGGCGTGCGTGCAGAGAGAGATCCATTTATGGATCAATGCATTCTTAACAGCAGTATTACATGCGTGTATAGAACGTTCAAAGCTTTTGAGGTCTGTGGTCGTGACCATTGCATTCTCGGGTTAAGAACCTATAACTGTCCTGTGCAAACTCACGTCCAAGCTTCCCACCTCAGGCAAGTCAAAAAAGCAGCATTCCATACATCACACTCAACTATATGACAGGGCGAACTCAAATACCACGTCTAATCTTTTCCATTCTGCATGGCGGGGTGAAACATCATTTCCTTTCACCTCAGGCTGTTGTTTACCACTGCAACATTCGGCAAAAAGTTGTGTTTTTTGTGCATGTGCACTCGTGTACGGTTTCTAACCACTGTCGAAATATTTTTTCTGTTGGTGTACTGTTGTTATCGTTCTCCCTTAAGACACCGCGAAAACATCTCCACACAAATAAAGACAGAACAAAGAAAAGCTGTCTCGTTTTGCAAGCCACACTGCAAGAGCTCAACCAATGAGAGGTTTCTATCAGGCAGCGTAAAGCCACCACCGGTGCACGGTGTTGATTTGGTAAAGACACGACCGATTTACTGTACATTTGAGACGGGAAGTGGTCACGCCACCCCTGCTGCTCCACTCCCACCTCTTACCCCTCCCCCTCACCACCTGTGCGAGTCTCACAGGATGCACACACATTTACACACCTCCAGCTGCACAAAGAGTAAAACCACATATCATACTTGTTTTTATTCATTCACACCTCAGTGCCCCACAAATCATCAATTTACTACAGAGAACGTAAAACGCCTCTCAGACAATAAACTGTTGTTTTGAAGGTTAAGTTAACAGTCAGTCGACGATGCATATTGAAATCATAATGGGGACAAAACTAATGAAATTATAAAACGAATGACAGTAAGCATGGTCCGCAAGTTGTCTAGCTGAAAAACAAAATGGTAACACTTTACAATAAGGTTTCATTAGTTAACAACTTTAGTTAACAAACTAAGAATGAACAATACTTCTACAGCACTTAGTAATTTTAGTTAATGTTAATTTCAACAGTTACTAATACATTATTGAAATTAAAAGTTGTATTTGTTAACATTAGTTAATGCACTGTGAACTAACATGAGCAAACAATGAACAGCTTTATTTTTTATTAACAAACATTAATAAATAGTAACAAATGTATTGCTCATTGTTAGTTCACAGTTAATGCATTAACTAATGTTAATAAATAAGACCTTATTGTAAAGTGTTAACAAAAATAGATCGAAATGAATTTTTATTCAATTTTAAAACACTAAAGTTTAAAATCCTTTAATATTAATGATTTTTTAATGATTAATGAAATGTATTCATTTATAAAAATGATAAAGATTGTAAAAATACAGTTAATAGTTATATTATACAAAAAAAATAATAATACTAAGAAACATTTATACCAAGTTATTATTCTAAATATTATTTTAATTGTCAAAAAACATCAACATTGAATCCACCAACAGATTAATCAATGAATGATGCGGAGTTCATTGTTAACATACATTTATGATAAAATATTTCTGTTAAAAAAAAGTAACTGGCTGTTATGTCACTGTTTGAAAGTTGCCAGCTAGTAAACATCCATTCGTTTACGTTCATTATCTAAACGTATCAATCTGAAGAAAATAAGAAAAAAAATAATGTTATATACACTATGTGAAACTGTGGTCACCCCCCAATCACCCTTTTTTCAAACCTTCGAAGCATTTAGTGTAAAGTAATAAATCCAAAAAACGTACATTTAAAAAAAAAAAAATTCACACACACACACGCACGCACAAACATGAAATTGGAAATTGTGTTAAAACCTCCAAGTTACCAAACACAGTGAGGAAAGCTTTACAACTTGAGGTTAGTCCATCCATCACTCCTCTAGAGTGTTAAACACCACTGACTTGTTTGTGCTGACAACTGCCGAAAGATTATTATTTATTCATGATTATTCATACAAACGTTCATCATTTGCAGATGTTTCCAATAGACCGCTGTGTAAAACAACCTCCACACACACAATGGGAATGTTTTGTTCTTCGTTCTGAAGTGCAAAGCAATACAAATAAATCCGTCTGGGAGGAATTCTGACCTTTGCCAGAGCCGACGTTCCCTCTGAGTGCAGTCCGCCTGCTGAGTCGCTCTGGCAAACGGAAAACAACTCGCCAGCCACACAGGGGTCACCCCTACTGCCCTCCCTCCCTCGCTCACTCACTCCAGCTCTGATTCTCCTCTTACTTGCTGTCTCTCTCTAAAACAATGATCTCACTCACTTACCAGGAATCCGCTGATTGTTTTAAATACCTTCCACTCTTGTGGACTCAAATCACTTTTTCCCATCCAAAAAAAAAAAAAAAAAAAAAAAAAAAAAAATGGCAGAGGGGGAAAGAAAATGACCTTGGCAGGAAGTTCAGTATCTAGCATGCCTGAGACACAGTTCATTCGGGCTCTTAGCCGACATTGTTTGAAATTACTGCTGTCCCATACAGCAATCCAATACAAAGTAATGGAGAAAAAGTAAAAGGGAACGAGAGGGAGAAAGAGGTCAAAAACATCCACATTTTTCTGCAAGTTAGGGTTGGCTTGAAATCTAAGGAATTCGAAAATGAAGTTGCCAAGGTGAAGGAACCGTCTATTTTGTTATTTCAACCTAAGCATTTCTCTGACGAAGAGGTTTTGACAGCATAGCTGTGGTATGTTCACCTGGGATAAGCCTCGACAGAGCATCCAATGACGCAGAGAAAAAACATCGACACTTCTGTAAATCTGACTTCTGCTGGCAGATACCCAGACGGACATTTCTCTTAACTTTTAATCATTCACATAAACGTATACGGTCCGGGTGTGTAAACCTGGCAATAGCAGCATTTCACATTACCCCTGTAATGCTCTATTTTTCATATATGCTAAAATATGCAGGAAAGCATTTGATACCGTCATCCTGACAGATGGGGGAAAGAGGAAAAAAAGAAAAAGTAACAACAAAACACATTTTCCAGGCTGGGCGGCACTAGAGTGTGTGTGTGTATATGCATGTGCTTTAGTAAGTTTT